GAGAGAGAGAGAGAGAGAGAGAGAGTTTTCCAGCCATGCACACAGACAGATAGAGAGAGCATACTTCCATTGATGAGAGAGAGAGAGAGAGAGTTTTCAAGCCATGCACGCAGACAGATAGAGAGAGGTTACTTCCATCGATAGGATAAGAGAGAGAGAGAGAGAGAGAGAGAGAGAGAGAGAGAGAGAGAGAGAGAGAGAGAGGGAGAGAGTTTTCCAGCCATGCACACAGATAGATAGAGAGAGCATACTTCCATCGATGGGATGAGAGAGAGAGAGAGACATTCTATATCTCTCTCTCTCACACACACACACGCACACACACACACACACACACACACAACCTCCTAATCACTCAGAAACAGTCTGCCAGAGTCATTTTTTTTTTAGTGTATAGCGAATATGATGACAAAAAAAAAAAAAAAAACCGAGCAGTGTAACAACAACAGCCCCGCCCCCCTGTTCGTCTCTCTCCTCTGCCGCAGCGTGGCTGCGGCGGACGCTGCGGCGCGTCCATTTGTATATCTTAAGAGATGAAGCGGTCCTCCCGTAACGCTCCCCCGGGCCCAAGAAAAACTAGGCGTGGAGCTCCGCGTGCAGTGCCACAGGGGACTTAGGAGGAAAACGGGAGACTGTCGCACAGGAGATGAGGAGGCACGCTAGTTTTTTTCCGTTTTATTGTTTCTCCCTTAGGCATCATGGCAGCGTTTCTTTTAAAGTCCCCACATGCACAAAAGACAAAACATATGGCAGTGTATCTTTTCATGTTCTACATGACGGAATTCTTTGCTACAACATGGAAAGATAACATTGCCATATTTTTTATTGTTAGCGCATGTGCAGAGTAGTGGAGCGACGCCTCGAATCCAGATGCTTCGTGTCCCCAAGGTTGCGTGCGAGCTTCCCTGCACATACGCAAAAGACAAAAAATATGGCAATCTATCTTTCCATGCTAGCGGAGAATTCAGTCTCATTTTTACATATTTGGAGAGTAGTGTTTGACAAGGTCTGGCTCCACTACTCTCCAAATGTGCAAAAATGGGACTGGATCTTCTGATAGAACATGGAAAGATTCAAAGATATATCACATTTTTTTGTCTTTTGCGCATGTGCAGAGTAGTGTACCGACGTCTTGGATCCAGATGCATCGTGTGCCCGAGCAACTTTTCTCTTTGTCATCCACAAGCGCCTCGTGGTGTGTTGAGTTTTTTTTGTTTTTTTTTCTGATTTATGTTTATCATCCTGGCACAGAGGCGATGCTAAATATCTGTATTGTTCCAATTTTAACGGATGTCCCGAAGGACAACTGCTGAGTTTCCTCTCCTGCCGAGTTTCCTCTTTTGTTGTTTTTCAGCTTTTGTTTGTCTTTTTTCCAAATTTTGAAAACGAAACTAAATCCTCCCCTACAACATGGAAATATACATTGCCATATTTATTTTATTTTTAACAAGCTCCGTTCTATTTGTGGGGAGCAGCATGTATCCAAATGCGGATGCCATATTTATTTTATTTTTAACAAGGCTCCATTCTATTTGTGGGGAGCAGCACGTATCCAAATGCAGGTCACGAGTTCGAATCCAGATGCGGGCCACGAGTTTGAATCCAGATGCAGACCACGAGTTTGAATCCGGATGCGACGCAGGGTTGTTCGCAGAATATTCGAACACAAGTACAGTGGTGAAGGGCAGCCTGGAATGTTGAGTGTTTCGGGTGTGTAGAATGGGCTGGCAGGGGGAACAGGAGAACACAGTGGCTTGCACCGTCCGGAACACAAGGTGTGCATATCCCGCATGGAACTGTCAAGTCCCATCCCGCCGTGTATACGCAAGATTGGGCATGCGGCGCGGTGTGGCCGCGCTGGGTCCACTTGTATTGTATTAAAGTTTAAACATGTTCCTAGGGAAGTGATTTACATCAGCGGTGAATGTTGGTGAGGATTTGAAGGTGGTGAGCCTAGCTTGAGTAACATGAGGACAATGGGAAAGAAAGGTGGTTTTCCCTGAGAAGGATGCAACAATAATTGCAACATGTCTTGATGCCAGAAGACGGAAGTGACTGTAATGGTTGAGAACTCATTTCCTTACCATACAGGCACTTCATTAGTTGTTGTTGTTTTTTTGAAACAATCAGCAACTCATGTGCAAGGTTCGTTTTTTCAAGAGATTTAGGCTCACTATTCTGACCACGAAACCCCTCGTTTGTTGTCCTCTTCTCTCTCTCTGCCTACGGTTTACCGGGCAGTTCTGTTTGTGACTATATATATATATATATATATATATATATATATATATATATATATATATATATACAAGCGCTTTGTTCTGATCTCATCTCATCCAACGCAAACTCCTGAAGAAGGTTGGTGTTCTGATGGCCCAATTGAAACGCGTGTAGGGTAGTTCCATCAGTAGAGCCTCATGGCTATGGCGTTTTGCGCCTCTGTTCTCAATGGACTTCATTCAATATATTTGAATGATGGGCTCAAGGGCTTACTCATATTTTGTCTAATTTTGTTTTTTTTTCCCTCCTTTGGTTGGCGAAGTGCTTGCACTTACTTATATGTTGCTAATACTACGACAAACATGTAAAAACTTATTGGGGAGACTACTCACCCTATTCGAGTCGCTGCGATCTTTGCCTACGATTCCTAGTCGTCTACCTCCTATCTCCCAAGCTACCGGCTGTTAGACCTGGTAGTCTCCCTTTTACTCTCGTATTATTTTCGGATAGCTTCTGTCATTTTTTTTCCTTATGAAATTTGGGTTTATGGAGTTGTAGGTTTCAACAGGGCAACAACCCCACTGGTGTACGTTGGAGGACATTGATAGTCCTCGGAACTCAGGGATGTATCGGTTAGACATGTGTCTTTTTTTTTACTCCCATGCCGCTTTATTCGGGAATGGTCGTTCCGCACTTGCCCGAATGGAGCGAAAATGGTTGCTAACATTCAAGGAGCAATGAATAATGGTGGGTGGAACAATGGTGGTGGGTTGTTGCCGACGCCGACTTCTTCTTCCTCATCTCAGGCGGCAAGCACATCCAACATATCTAACGTGATTGTACCATATCAAATGCCCCAAAACAGGGGCACGACCGATGCAGGCAACATCTATGGTGGTTACAACAACAATAATTATCGAGGGAAACATGGTTATGGGGGTCAACGTTACTTGAGGTCCTGGGGAGGGGGATACAGGGATTGACACAAAGATGAGTGTTTCAACAAGATCTATGGGAGGGAAACATGGTTATGGGGGTCAACGTTACTTGAGGCCCTGGGGAGGGGGATATAGGGATTGACACAAAGATGAGTGTTTCAACAAGATTTATGGCATGCTTTCAAAATAGGCAGAAGAGCAAGAACAAAGGAAATAGGAGATGGCGACTCCTTGAAGTCAATAAGAAAAGATTTCAGACAATAGAAATAAGGAACAAAAGGTTGTTTGTGAATCCATGCTAGGGAAAAAGGCCGATATTCCCAATGAGGTTTAGTCCTACGTGAGCAAAGTAAACCGTGAACTAGAGGAATTGAAGGCAAGATGTGAAGGGGAGAAAGTCGAGTCTATCTTGGACGCACTCCAAAGGGAGAAAGAAGCTCTCATAAAGGCGCATGTTCAAAGCATTGAAGAGGAGATGCTAAGAAAGGAGGTCGAACACTCAAAGTATCAAATGAGTCTCAGATGAAAAAAACAGCAGATGCTTCTTCTAGTTCGCAGAGCGATGAGACTGTGTCCCTCCATCTACAGATCCATAAGTTAGAAGGTCTTTGTGAGGTGCTTCAAAATAGAAGTGTTAAGTTGGGGATTATAAAGGCGGAAAACTCAGCTATTAAGAATGATTTCCCTGATCTCAAAGGCGAGGTGATTTAGCTGAAGAATGTACATAAGAAGAGGGCATATGAGACGATCACCGAAAAGAGCCCACCTGTTTAACCGGATAACGCCAAACACATAATGCGCTGGATTTGGAGACTCTCCAAAAGGTGTATAAGAAGGCGCTGGAAGGCGAGGGGGTAGCCAACAAGGAAGTACATACCCTCAAGGAGTGAGTAGGGGCTCAACTACTGACGAAGCAGCAACTATCTGCGTGACAATCGTCATTAAAAAAAAAAAACACAAAACTTGAGGCCGGTCTTAAGCATCATTTAGATAAAAGACAACGCCTCAC